GAGCACCTAGAAAGGAATGCTGTGATCACCAATAGTCAGCATGGATTTCTGAAAAATAAGTCATGTCAGACTAACCTGATCTCGTTTTTGACAGAATTACAAGCCTGGTAGATGAAGGGAACGCAGTGGATGTAGCCTACCTTGATTTCAGCAAGGCATTTGACAAGGTGCCCCATGATATTCTTGTAAAGAAGCTGGTAAAATGCGGTCTTGACTATGCTACCACTCAGTGGATTTGTAACTGGCTGGCTGACCCGGACCCAAAGGGTGCTCATCAATGGTTCCTCTTCATCCTGGAGAAGAGTGACTAGTGGGGTGCCACAGGGTTCTGTCTTGGGCCCGGTCTTATTCAACATCTTTATCAATGACTTGGATGATGGACTCAAGGGCATCCTGATCAAATTTGCAGATGACACCAAACTGGGAGGGGTGGCTAACACCCCAGAGGACAGGATCACACTTCAAAACGACCTTGACAGATTAGAGAACTGGGCAAAAACAAACAAGATGAATTTTAACAGGGAGAAATGTAAAGTATTGCACTTGGGCAAAAAAATGAGAGGCACAAATACAAGATGGGGACACCTGGCTTGAGAGCAGTACATGTGAAAAGGATCTAGGAGTCTTGGTTGACCACAAACTTGACATGAGCCAACAGTGTGATGCGGCAGCTAAAAGCCAATGCAATTCTGGGCTGCATTAATAGGAGTATAGCATCTAGATCAAGGGAAGTAATAGTGCCACTGTATTCTGCTCTGGTCAGACCTCACCTGGAGTACTGTGTCCAGTTCTGGGCACCACAGTTCAAGAAGGACACTGACAAACTGGAACGTGTCCAGAGGAGGGCAACCAAAATGGTCAAAGGCCTGGAAACGATGCCTTATGAGGAACGGCTAAGGGAGCTGGGCATGTTTAGCCTGGAGAAGAGGAGGTTAAGGGGTGATATGATAGCCATGTTCAAATATATAAAAGGATGTCACATAGAGGAGAGAGAAAGGTTGTTTTCTGCTGCTCCAGAGAAGCGGACACGGAGCAATGGATCCAAACTACAAGAAAGAAGATTCCACCTAAACATTAGGAAGAACTTCCTGACAGTAAGAGCTGTTTGACAGTGGAATTTGCTGCCAAGGAGTGTGGTGGAGTCTCTTTCTTTGGAGGTCTTTAAGCAGAGGCTTGACAACCCTATGTCAGGAGTGCTCTGATGGTGTTTCCTGCTTGGCAGGGGGTTGGACTCGATGGCCCTTGTGGTCTCTTCCAACTCTATGATTCTATGATTCTATGATGTTGCCTGATGTTGTAACCCACCCTGTAATCTTCAGAATGAAGGGAAGGGTTTAAAATAGATAAGGCACTAGGGGCTCAGATAGGCGGACAAGGAGACATGTGTGCTTTTCAAAGCCTAAAACTGTAACCCCACCTCAACCCCATGGTGTATTACAAGGAACCATCCTGCCAAGAGACCTGTGTTGCACTGAAATACCTGTGTGGCTAACATGAAATAGCGGGTGGCGCTGTGGGTTAAACCACAGACTTGTCAATCAGAAGGTTGGTGGTTCGAATCCCTGCTACGGGGTGAGCTCCCGTTGCTCGGTCCCTGCTCCTGCCAACCTAGCAGTTTGAAAGCACATCAAAGTGCAAGTAGATAAATAGGTACCGCTCCAGCGGGAAGGTAAACGGCATTTCCATGCTCTACTCTGGTTGGCCAGAAGTGGCTTAGTCATGCTGGCCACATGACCCAGAAGCTGTACGTCGGCTCCCTCGGCCAATAAAGCGAGATGAGCGCCGCAACCCCAGAGTCGGCCACGACTGGACCTAATGGTCAGGGGTCCCTTTACCTTTACCTTTAACCATTTAAAAAATATTCAAAGTTGCTAAAACATGAGATCTTGTGGACTTATTCACTGAACCCCAGTAGGTCAAAACTTCCAGGCCCTTGTTTTCCAGTTCCATCAGGTTTTAGTGATGGCAAACATACTGATGCAGATCCACCTTGTTGTTGTTTAGTCGTTTAGTCGTTTCTGACTCTTCGTGACCCCATGGACCAGAGCACGCCAGATTCATGTTTGTAGCTTCGAGAACACTGCCCAACCATCTCGTCCTCTGTCGTCCCCTTCTTCTTGTGCCCTCCATCTTTCCCAACATCAGGGTCTTTTCCAGGGAGTCTTCTCTTCTCATGAGGTGGCCAAAGTATTGGAGCCTCAGCTTCAGGATCTGTCCTTCCAGTGAGCACTCAGGGCTGATTTCCTTCAGAATGGAGAGGTTTGATCTTCTTGCAGTCCATGGGACTCTCAAGAGTCTCCTCCAGCACTATAATTCAGATCCACTTACTACAGATCCAACCATCATATTTGACCAAATTCACCAGATTCACCAGCATGTAAGGCCACATCTCTTAGTTTTTTGCATGACACCTAGTACAGTGATAGGTGTGGAGTATGTAATAAAATGTGATTGTGAAACATGATAGCCACTCTACTGAAATTTTATCTGCTGGTAGACAGTAATAATGATTTCTTCAGTCATGTACGTTCTCTTTTCAGGTGCCAATGGAAAATGCAACCGCATTGCCCCACTTAATTGAAACGTGTGAGGAAACCTCTCGCACAGTGCAGTCACAAATTGCACTTTACAATGGGGAATCGATATCTGGTGACAGGCCGAAGAGATTTTTGTCCTCTTTCTGAAGAAGTCAGTACATATGAAGGAGGGCAAGGCATTTTGAAAGTTAGCTCTCTACTTTAGTACATGTAAGATCCAACACCCCCTTCATGTGGAGGAAACTATGGTACCTACCTTTGAACAAATGGAATGGATGAAGGGGAAGAATGGCAGGCTGACCTCCAGTCCACAAGTCTCACTTTGCCTCAGAGGATGTAGGAGAGAAAACTAGGGAGCAACATGATAGAACAGGAGTGAGGGTGAGGGGGGGGGGCACATGATCAAGAATATCTTAATCAGGTATGGTGGAAATGGAAGGAAGCAAGAGGAACCACTCAGGCAGGTATGGAATTTCATGCCTGCCAACATTTCTCTGATGAAAATAGGGACATCCTATTCTACATCAAGGGATGCGGGTGACACTGTGTTCTAAACCACTGAGCCTATGACTCGCCGATTGGAAGGTCGGTGGTTCGAATCCCCATGACGGGGTGAGCTCCCGTTGCTCAGTCCCAGCTCCTAGCAGTTCGAAAGCACATCAAAGTACAAGTAGATAAATAGATATCGCTCCAGCAGGAAGGTAAACGTCGTTTCCATGCGCTGCTCTGGTTTCGCCAGAAGCGGCTTAGTCATGCTGGCCGCATGACCCAGAAAAACTGTCTGCGGACAAACGTCGGCTCCCTTGGCCAGTAAAGCGACATGAGCACTGCAACCCCAGAGTCGTTCACGACTGGATTTAACTGTCAGAGGTCCTTTACCTTTACCTTTACCTATTCTACACCAGGAAGCTTCTCCCACACACATAGACATCATATGCACATACAGTGGACGCTCGGGTTGTGAACGTGATCCGTGCAGGAGGCACGTTCACAACCCGCAGTGTTCACAACCTGCAGCGCCACGTCTGAGCACTTCTGCACTTGCGCAAAGCACGATTTAGTGCTTCTGCACATGCGTGACCACTGAAACCTTGAAGTAACCCGTTCCGGTACTTCCAGGTTTCAGCATGTCCGTAACCCGAAAAAACGCAACCTGAAGCATCTGTAACCCGAGGTATGACTGTATACATCTGTCAGCTTGAGACAATTGCAACCTCTTAGCCTAACTTACCTCACAAGATTGTTGTGAAGAAAAAATGTGCAAGGGAAGAGATCATGCACAACTCCTTCCACAGCTAAATGGAATTTAAAAAGTTTTTAGCTGTAAGCCTGTTGGGGGAAAAGGCAGGCAGGTAATAATAATAATAATAATAATAATAATAATAATAATAATAATTAATAATAATAATAATAATAATAATAATAATAATTGGAAACTGTGAGAATGATTGGGAATATACCAGAGTGAATCCTATTGAACTCAGTGGGACATAGTTCTATATAGAAGTGCTTAGAATTGCAGGGTAAGGCTGCACAGTCTTTACCCAGTTACCTGGGAGTAAGCTCTATTGAATACAGTGGGATTTACTTCTCAGTGGATAGTGTAAGGTTCCATTTACAATAAAGGGGGGGCAACACCCCATGTGTTTCCTAAGAAATGGTTGGCGTCTGAAGCATTGCAGTTAAGGAATTTAAAGTGGATCAGTGACATTTTCCTTAAAATTTTAGGAAGTCAGCTTCATAATTTCCTTCATTTGGTGCAGGGATTTTGTTTTCAGGGTAAACAAGACTCATTTTTTGCAACTACACACAAAACTTTTAATTGTTCTCTGAGACATGGAGGGGAGGAAAAAGAAAAAACTAGGACCAAATCAGAAACCAGGACGGCTTCTGTAATTCCAGGACTGTCTCTAGAAAATAGCGATACTTGGAGGGTGTGAAATTTAAAGTCAGGCTCCAAACAACAGAATGAAAGAGGATGGAGTGTTTGAAGTCCTGTCTCTGACTACATATATGTAGACCTCAAGTGAGAGACAAAAGAGTGTTCCAGACATCCCACAGGGGGCTATATAATGTTTTGAATGTGGTTTGTTTTCACATATCCGTGTAGGTGGTGAAACACAGGAGTGATCATTCTACCATGCGTGTGTGTGGTGTGTGTGTGTGTGTGTGTGTGTGTGTGTGTGTGTGATGGTATGTGTAGACCTGCCACCTTTTTCTGGAAGCATCACTAGCTAGTTGTTTCTATGGCAACAATCACCTACTTGACCAGCTCTTTGGATATGTAAAAAGGATGTTTAGCAGGATTGCTGGGATCATTAATGAACTTAACAAAGCGAGCGGTTTCACTACTACAGAATCCCATAGATACAAAACCAAAATACCATCTAAAGCTATAACAACACATTTGCTGTAGCTTTAAAAGTGTCATTGGACTTTTATTTTTATTTTTTTCCCTTTTCTGCTGTAAGCAATGGATAGTTGACTTTCCCTTTGAAAGCGAGCCAACTGAACATGTGGTCACTGTCTCCCGCTGATTCCTATCCAAGTCTTGTTGCCTTTTTTGCATATGTTGGGGATTTGAGATAGCTGCCAAGCTAAAAGATCCCGACCCAAGTTCTCAGAATCAAGCACAACTGCCCAGAATAACTCTTAGGCTCTACTTTAAGATGCATGATGGTCGATCGATTTGTTTGTTTGCTTTGCTCTTGGTTTCCCTCTCTTGTTAATAATTAAACAGATCTATTGGTTGACTATAAATTCATTTTCTCACGCCACTTAGGTTTGTAAGCTGATGGGAACACATTATAATGCACCATTAAAGACATGTGCAGGTTATATTTAGGTGTGTTTAAAAAGAAAAGCCATCAGGGCTGTAAGCTCAAAGACATTCTGTGAAATCTAAAAATATGTTGGCAGCAGCGGGCAAGCCAGTGAGCTCCAAATGTGATGAGGTTTGGGCTAAAGAGCCAAGAAATCTAAAAGAGTGCTGTGGGTAAAGAGGAATAAAGAAGAGAAGTAGATCCAAAGGCCATGACTTAGACATGAGACTTGTATTCACCCAGTGGTCTAATAATACAGTGGTACCTCGGTTTTCGAACATCTTGGAAATCGAACGTTTCTGTTTTCGAATGCCGAAAACCCAGAAGTAATGAACACTCCCCACATCAAATGGGGGGCGCCTTTTGTGTGGTAGTGTGCAGCCCCCCGGATCCCAATGCGGCTCCTGGTAGTATGGGCTGGCTTCGCCCTCTTCAGGCTGGATACCTGGAGGTCTCCGCTTACTTCAGCTAATCGCCCAATCCTGCCTGGGGAGGCATTACCAGGGGATTGGACAGGTAGGGGGAGGGACCACCCTGCCCATACAACAGAAGGTGAATCTTACCTGCGAAGTGGCAGTCGGCTCCAGAGCTTCTCCCTCCCCTCCCTCAGTTAAGCTTTCTTTTGCAGGTTAACCTATTCTTCACAGGTATGCGGGCGCTGCTACATCATGGTCGCTGTTGAAGGGCCAGAAAGGAATTTTCCTGCATTGGCAGGTTTTGCCTTCCCCGTAGCCAAACGTCACAACTTTGGCGGTTTCAGGCCTTGGGCAGAATCCTTTAGTCTATCTTCCCTAAATGGGGGGGGGGGGCGTGAAGCAGTGACTCACGTCCCCCTTGCAGCGGCAATCCCAAGGTTCCCTGTTAAAGGGATCTTGAGGGGACGCATTGGCCATACGCCGAGAGGTTGTCATTGCTCTCCCCTGAGATGGCAGCAAAATGGGGGGCGGGCTCTCTGCTTAAACATATGTTCTCCAGAGCCAGCCCAGTCCCCACACACTCTGGATAACCCTGGTGTCCCCCAGATCCCTGGCTGGGGACTGGGAAGGATAAACACCCAGTGCCTGAGCCAAGGTCTTCCTACATCTGAAACTTAATAAAGTTGTGGCCAATTTTAATCCCATAGCACATTGTCTTGAGTCGTTATTCCACACGGGGGTTGCCTGGGGTTGGGGGGACTCTGCCTGTCCACGCAAATGCTTCGGTTTTCGAATGCTTTTTGGAAGTTGAACGTGCCGTGTGGCTTCTGTATTGAGTTTTCCATAAGTAAATGCTTCTGGAAATGCCTGCTTCGGTTTTCGAACGTTTCAAAAGTCGAATGGTCTTCCGGAACAGATTATGTTCGAAAACAGATTACCACTGTACTCGGTTCTGTTCTGTATGATTGACTTACAATGCAACCTTACTAAGAAATGCTACATTGTTTTTAATGGAACTTACTTCTGCAACATACATGGGGGTTACATTTGGGAACAGCGCATAAAGCCAAAATCGTGTATGGTCAAAATACCATTGGTTGCAATGGCAGGTGGGATTGCTAGAGTTTTTCTTCCCCAGAAACCTGGCCACTTTCTGCCCCCTTTTTAAATTTTGATTATTTTTTGTTGCCAAACGAGCAAAGCTGGATGTTCACAAGTTAAATGTGCGTAAGTTGCAGGTCTACTGTACCTCCTTTGGTAAAAGAAATATTTACGCATATTAGGTATGTTCCAAGTTGTGGATGAGCTTTAATGCTTACTGAGATGATAAGCAGTTCATAATTATGTATTGGTTTGTTGTGCTTTATTTTTCTTTTGTGTCAAGTTGTCTGAATCTATTGGTGCAGTAGTTCTTTTGTTTTGTAATCTCTAAATTAATATGACACATTTTTGTGTAATTTAGTGTCCTGTTTTTGTATTTTGTATTTATTACACTATTTTCATATGATATAACTGCATAAGGCCCCAGATTTTAAAAGCTGATTACAATGAACTTTACCTTTTCTCTACATTTTATATGTCTTTGGTTAGTAGTATTGCCCTCTGATCTCTCTGAGTTGTACGCTTGTAATACTTAACAATGAAAACTGTTTTTTTTTATTTCCTAATTATTACTCCAGTACCTGATGACATACAAAACAAATAGTCCTTATAGCATATTCCATTTCAAGTAAAAATATCTTTGTACATTAGTCAAATTAAAACTACATCTTTTTCACTCCATCTGCATCATACCATCCATTTAGCGTCCTTAGTTCATACAACTGGTTTTCAAGCCTGATGCGCATAGGACTATAATGCCATTAAAAAGCCAGGATACAACTTCAAGACAACCCTGTACCATAAGAAATATCATTGATTCGTCTAGCCTTGCTGGAAATACGAGCCCACCTACAAACGTTTATAGACAAATGCAAGGCCTTTGAGATGCTCTCAGTTTTCTTTTTCTGCATCATGACCATCTGCTGAATCTCAGAGGCATACAAAAAAAGATGTCATGACAATAGCATTCAACAACTTTAGTGCTGTTCCTAGATGCATTCTGCCAAATGTCCAAATACTGTTTTCATTTTTTAAAATAAATAAATGCTGCAGTTCTTTCCCCAAATAGCAATAAGTTCAGGCACCATAAAGCTTGGTAAACGCTGGGAAGCTAGCAGCGCAATCGTATTTACATGTTTGCTCAGAAGTAAGTCTTTGCTGTCAATTGGGATTCCTCACAGGCAAGTGGGTATAGAACTGCTGCCCTGAATCACTTGCCAAGTTGCTTTCCTAGAATGCAGTTTTGAAATGGAATAGCCGGGTGCATCTGCTGTTTTCACAAGGCGAGTCTACGAAAGTCTTAAATCCCAGTTTTATTATTCATGTAAATAAATTGCCTGTGACTTCTTAAGAAATAAATAATAAGTTAAATTTATGGGCTTGTGTCCGACGCAGGGGTAAATAGCCATCCAATAAGTGCAATGATTTACACATCGGCAATGGGCCTTTCCCTCCTCCCCATGCACTTTCTGGGTTCCCCTTCCCCAACCCTCTAGAGCAGATTTCGGGAGAGCGAAGGCACATACAGGGTGGGGGGGAGAGAGGGGGAGAAAGTCCCATTCCAGTGGGAATCCTCACATTGACAGGAGGGTTTCTTAGTGTTGTAGCCTTCTTAGACTTTACCAGTCTAAATTGGTGGGGTCTGCGTTGCTCCCGGGAGGGAGAAAGGAAGTCAAATGACACCAAGGTTGATTCAGAGAAAGAGTTTATTCTGCTCTCCGGATAGCAGAAGGCACTTGCGTGGTCAGTTCACAGCAAGTCCAAAGAAATGAGAAATTTCATGCAGTATATATATCATCAGCTTTTTAGGGAAGCTTTTAATGTTTGATGTATTACATTATTTTAATATTTTTGGAAGCCGCCCAGAGTGGCTGGGAAAGCCCAGCCAGATGGGTGGGGTATAAATAATAAAATAATAATAATAATAATAATAATAATAATAATTATCCAGGCACCCTCTCCCCCTTCCTCAGGAATCCAGCCACGTCAGCTTATACACACAGGTTGACATCACAGATGTTCCTGCTCCGGTACTCTTAACCATAAAAGGGTGTTCCTCTTCCTGTACTCTTGACCATATAAGGGTGTTCCTGTTCCTGTCCTTATCTTGGGGTAAGAAGGTCTCCTGGCGCTGTCCCCGGACTAGGTCTGTGCATCAGAGTGTGGTCAGGATGTAAGATAAGACCCAGACGTGCCATGCCTGCTCCACTGGAACAGCCATTCTTCCTTTGAGGTTGTTCTCTCCTCCTTCCATTTCTGAGCATAGAGAATCCTTGCTGCTGTAGTCACACACATAAATACCGTTGAGACTTTATTTGGGATTACAGTGGTACCTCTAGTAGTGGACATGATCCATTCTGGGGTGCCGTTCACATCCCAAAAAGTCCGCAACTGGAGCGGTGCTTCTGCACAAGCGTGGAGCATGATAGAGTGCTTCTGCACATGTGCGAAGTGTGCAGAACGCTTCTGTGCACGTGCTGAAAAGACACAACATGAACCTAACGCAATGCGAGGTATGACTGTACTTTTGAATAGATATGCATGACTTTGGGTAGCACTGTGAATTGGCTAAGAAAGCTTGGCGCCTTCTTGTTTGAGGGAAAGGGTGCTGAGAAGTTCTAGATACCACACTTCTGAGTGATGGCTTAGGTATAAAGAACCCTTTGTCATGGCTCAGATTTAACCTACATAATATTTGCATTTGAAATATTGCTTTCCTTAAATACTTACAATGACTTTCTAACTGTTTCCATATCCAGCAGAAATGCCTTGTCTTCCTTACCATAAAAGCTCCCCTAGCCATGCCATTCCAATTCTTCTCATGCTGAAATATATCCCTGCACAATGTTGGGGCATCTGGAAGCCAAGATCCAAATTTGGATCCCCAGCAGAAATTTAAAGTCACAAAATATGTTGCAAAGTAAAGCTCAGAAATATAGGCTGTAAGACTTTTAAAATATGCCCTTCCAAGTGTGTTCCAAATTCTTCCCCATCCCCCAGCATAGCAAAAGACCATACACTTGATAAGTTGAAAACTGATTTCCTTACAAACTCTTCAAAGGTCTGGTTCATGTGCTTTTCCATATATCAGTCAGAAAAGTTTCACAGGCAGCAAAACTTAGCTTAGTTACAAAGTTGTAAAAGTTCTTAGATTATTGGCATAATAATCTAAACTGAACAGTGGCTGGTGAGAGCTATGCAGCTGAGCTGGAGAAACAAATTCAGACCTCTTCACACGCTGAAGGGAAAAAAGGATTGCTTACCTATTTCCTCGCAAGGTAGGGGGAAGGGATCTCGCTAAGCCTGGCAGAACAGCTTACTCTATGGTATTAACCCCTTCATGCATTAATTAGACATAAAAGGTTGTTTATATGACGCTGGTTATCCCACACCGGGCACCTTCACTTTTTCAACTCTACCCCCTTTAGCAACTCAAATTTCTCCTATCTTTAAAAGGTTCTGTCTGTTACCCTTTGGTATGTGCTCTGCCTGGAACTTCCTCACAGAACTACCATGTAGTATCACCTATCCCCACTTTAGGCAGGGTGTGTATGTGTATTCTGAGCCTTTAAACCTGATAATAATAATAATAATAATAATAATAATAATAATAATTTATTATTTATACCCCGCCCATCTGGCTGAGTTTCCTCAGCCGCTCTGGGCGGCTCCCAATTGAGTATTAAAAACAATACAGCATCAAATATTAAAAACTTCCCTAAACAGGGCTGCCTTCAGATGTCTTTTAAAGATAGGATAGCTGCTTATTGGCATAGGCAAACTCTGGCCCTCCAGATGTTTGGAACTACAATTCCAGTCACTCCTAGCTAACAGGACCAGTGGTCAGGGATGATGGGAATTGTAGTCCCAAACATCTGGAGGGCCAGAGTTTGCCTATGCCTGCACTTAACAGTGCAATCCTATTAGGGTTGCCATAGTCCCAAAAGTGAAAATTCGGACAGAGTTGTTGAGCTTTTTTGCCGATTCAGCAACAATCCACCTGGATGCCATTTTTCTAAGCGATTCCCGTGAAAAACCAGTAAGTTGGTATAGAATACCAACATAAAGGAGATGATCCAACTATTCCATTAACTATAATGGTATCAATGAATATTTGCAAAACAGTTGGCCATCTCATGTAAAATGCTGAGATTGCAAATATTCGAGTAGTTTGCTTCTTATGTTTTCTGCCCAAATTTATAACTGTGACATTATTTTTTTTTAAAAAAATTATCATATATGTCACAAAGACTTAAAGCTTATATCAATACTACTAATTCAGAATGAGTGTGCTGTCTATTTCACCCTTTCATTCATTCTTCCCTTCATACATTTTTAAAAAAGAGAATGAATTAAAAAGTATGAGCACAAAGGAAAATGTACTAAAATAATTATACCAAATGTGCATTGACCCCATTGCCATTTGTGTCTCATTGCTAGGTTAGCTACTTGTAATAAGACTGCCGGTCTTGCTGTTAAAGTCCTTGATGATAATGATCAAAGAGTTCCACAACAAGGATACTCCTCTAACAATTATTGTTTCGAAATAATGCACATTCGGAGCAGTTCAAAGACAAGATGGAACATCTCAAGAGTGCTTCATTGTATTTTCACTAGGATTCTCCCTCCCTCTCCGGCACTTAGGCTCCATAGACTATGGTTGTTAGAGCTGCTGGTTGTTTCGGGAAGAATGCATGCCTTTGAAACATTTGTTGCATATACAATGAATGTGTGTGGGAGGAGCAGAAACCCTGGGTGCGCGGAGAAAACCCAGCACACATACTGTTGCACTTGGGGAAGTCTTTTCAGATCTTACAAAAATCCACATAGGTCAGGGAGGGGCAGCACATGCCGCTGCTGCGTTGCCTGCCCATGTGTGTCCACTGCAAATGAAAAATCCATCTTTATTTATAGATATACTAACAGTGAATTCTTGCCAACAAAGGTCCGTATAGTTAAAGCTATGGTTTTTCCAGTAGTGATGTATGGAAGTGAGAGCTGGACCATAAAGAAGGCTGATCACC